AGAACTACCAGAAAAAAACTCAACAGAGATACTGAAGAATTAAATCACACAATAAACCAACTTGACCTCATAGATATCTATAGACTAGTGCACCCCAAAAAAGCACGTCTTGTTTTTCAAGAAGTGTGAGGATGGCACAGGATAGAAAAGGGTTCAGATCCTGTTGTTCATAGGGTCACTATGATTCGTATCTGACTCAATAGCACCTAACAACAACAAGTAAATAAATAGTTCATGGAAATGGAACTAAGGTTTTATCTTTTTCGGTTTCTTTTAAAGTTGGTTTTCATTCAATCTTTCATATATGTTTTTAATAACAATTAAAATTGATCAGTGTCTTTTATGACATCTCATCAATTTTTTTTTTTTTAGAATAAACACCTTTAATACATGTGCTAAAATGGGAGGGAGATTTATTTGCCTTTCCGTGCCTTGATTTTTCTCAGGTAGAATTCCAACTCCTTGCCCTCTAGCACATAACCATCTGCACAGCCACACTGGCCTGGCCGGGAAGCAAAACATGGAAGAAGCTTGCCCTGTTGGAACTGCTCCTTAGAAAACTGCTGATTTTGCATTCTTTTTCCTTCCATCGTATTTTTTCTTAATTTTCTTTGCTCTTTTTGTTTAAAATCTCTTCCTCCTCAGGAGTCAGCTTAACCCCCTTCTTGCGACCCAGGGGTAGCGCAAAGTTGGTTTTCATTCACCGGCGGTACAGTGTGCTGTCAATGAGCACGATGCAGTTCTTCACTAGGGTCTTGGTTTGGACCAGTTCGTTATTGGAGGCATTGTAGACCACATCAATTATCCTTGTTTTTCGAGTACAACATTCAGAGTCCCAGGAGAAGTTCCCCACATCCAGTCTTAGGGCACGGAACTTCTTGTGGCCTCTTCTCACATGAACTGTGTGTATACGGTGGGTCCAATCTTAGTGTTGGAAGCCAGGCGTCCCAGCTCATACTTCCACTTCTTGTGGTAGAACTTTCTCTTACCCCCGGTCTTGCGGCGCTTGTGCCAGTTGTCCCGGGAGATGCCCATCGCACCGCGCTGCCTGAGCAACATCTCATCAAATTTTAACTATAGCTTGCCTTTCTCTTTACCCTACAGATCTGTATGCTAATTTCCATTATTTTAAAAAAATTTTTAATTTATATTTCCTTACTTACAAAGTTCATATACATTGTTTCACACTATTCTTCACTCACATTGTGTTTCATATAATCATTCACATACATCATGTTTTATAAAATTAATCACCATTGGGCTATGCAAATCATTACCCTGTTTTTTCAGGTCCCTGCCAGATTTTTCCCATTTCCTTTATCCCCTCCCTCCACCTACCAAATTATGTAACCCTGTTATTTCACTCCTTGCCATCCTCACCCCTCTGCTCCTACCCTTTCCAGCCTTGGGTCCCCATATATGTTTTACTAGTTATCCTCCAATTTTTATAGAATGGTCTCATGTAGTATTTGTCCTTATAAGACAGTTTTAATTCACTCAGCATAATGCTCTCCAGTCTTTCTCACATTATGTATTATCATTGCTCCTGCATGCTGCATAGTATTCCATCCTGTGAATGTACCATAATTTCTCAATCCGTTTTGTGCATTTCAGCTGTTTCCATGTTCTTGCAATGGTGAATAATGAACTACTTGGATTAGCTAAAGGATAATCCAGGCTCATGGGCCAGTAAATACTGCCCAAGGTTGACCAGATGGTTCATCAAAATGACAAGAACATTCACCATGGCCAAACTTTATATTATTTCATCAAGTATGCTTAGAAGTGGCTGGTTACCCAATGCGGACAGAGAGTGGGGTGGAGCTCCCCGATGAAAACAATCTTGGAAGGAGGAGTGGCATCCACTTCCATAATAGCTTGCCTCTGGAAACCCTATGAACCTGGAGAAAGGAAGAAAGTCACCCAAGCGTCGAGGACTCTCCTTCATAGGGTCGCTATGAGTCGCCTGTGACTCGACGGCACTTAACAACAACAACAACATGCTTAGAAAAGAAATAAAAACAAAATGTCAACTCTTAACAAAGTAAAATGCCAGTTCTACACTTTGTTATCTGTGTGTGGCTACTGGATAATAAATGATTAGCAGTAGCACAGTAATGACATCTTACATATCAAACACTTGTCACTAGGGACCATAGACACTGATGCAAGGATTTATTCACCTGTCTTTAGCAATGGCGAACAGATCATCTTCATCATCCATATCAAAGAGACTGGTCTTTTTCACCACCTTCTTGGCTTCTTGGTCCTGGGCAATCCCAGACTCCCTAAGTTCTCTTTTAGACTTACTGTCAGTGGTGCAGTTGGTCTGTGAGTTAGTAAGACTCCACTGGTCCTTAAAAAATAATAAATATATGAAAAGTTCCATGACAACCGAGATTAAGAAACATAATAAATTTATAATACTTAACTAAGCATACCACTTTTAAAATAAAGTCATTCCCTATGCTCTTCTTTCTCAAATCTAACAAACAGAACAAACCCTCTTCAGAGCCATCTTCCCCTGATTATCTTGTCACAATGTCCTCCTCAGTATCAGATTTACAATATGACAAGGGAAAGCACCAAAGAACTCTCAATTCTAAAAACTTTGAGGGAAAATGATATTTTAACTTAAAGGCATCAAAGTACAAAGTAGCTTGGAAAGAATTTATAAACACACACCACCCCCCTAAATGCAGCCACAACTCCCCTGACTATCCTTTATCTCTCTCTGCCTGCCCCTCCTAATCAAGGTTCCTGCCCTGTGTCCAGTAGTCAACAACCAATTGCCAAAACAAATACTGATCATGATGTGAATACATATTAAAAACACTCAATGGCACAATGATTACAGCTAGCTTCATAGTACATTTATACTAAAGCTTACTCTGAAGGGCAAGTAAATTGTAAACTAACATCATAAGGATATCATAAAAACAGAGTCAATTCTATACACTATATAAAATTGAATATATGAGAGTAGAATATTTAAGAATATATTCAATACAGAAGAATAACATATATGAAAGTCAATTAGTTATATATGTATATAAATTATATGTTGGATAGTATAGGTGGAAGTCTAAAGAGATGCTGGTGGAGTAGGGAAAGAGGTGTGGAAAGCAGAATGGCGCTTTCTCAAAAAGTTGCAAATAGAGATACCATTTGACCCAGCAATTCCACTACTGGGAATATACCCTGAAGAGACCATA